TGACTTAAGTAATTATAATTGGTGGAAATATTGTCTGTCAGCTCTTAAGTGGAGGTAGGCAGGTCAGGGGTTCAGTACCAGCCTTGGCTTACATACTGACGTAGAGACCAGCCTGGGTTGCATGAGACCCTTTTTCAAGCAAATACACAAACAAAATCCTTCAGCTTCAAAGGAACTGTAGTTTTTATAACAGGCGTAAGTAAGCATGTACATTTTGTGTTCTGGAAGATTATCTTTTTTTTTTTTTTCATGACAGGGTTTCTCTGTGTATCCTTGGCTGTCCTGGACTAGCTTTGTAGACCATGCTGGCCTCAAACTCAGAGAGATCCACCTGCCTCTGCCTCCTGAGTGCTGGGATCACAGGCATGTGCCACCTCATCCAGCTAAAGTTTATCTTTACAATATTGGATATTAAATAAACATAGAGGTGCTGTGTTTTTTGTTTGTTTTTATTATTATTATACTGGGCAGTTTAACTCCAAAGAGAAACAATGTCTCTGCCTTTGAAGGCTTCAGATCAGCATTTATGACACTATAGAATAGTTTGTTAGCTTGCAAGGTGGATAAACTTTCAAACCCTTCATAGTTCTCGACTGCACTATAAAAAGCTCTCTTCTCAAACTTATACTTTTATAAATGGCCATTCTTTAAATAACGATTACAAACTCTGGATGAGGCTAGCTATAATTCAGGTTTCTTATTTTTCTCTATATTTCACTCTCTACGTACTTTTTTTTTCCTTGAAAATCAATTTATTCAAGTTAATGAACTGGTACCCTTGGTTCTCTTTATGAAATGTTAATATGAACAGCTTGTACACATGCTTTGCAGGCATGCTTTTTCCCCCAGAAGTAATGCATTTTTTTCTTTTTAAATTACAGGAGCTACATTAGCAAGCACATTGATTTATCTACTTGACTCTGAGTATATGTTGCCTTCAAAAAAAAAAAAAAAAAAAAAGAAGTGGGGTATTTGAGAGGACAGTTCTTTGTAAATGTAGATATGACAATTTTAAAGATAAGCTAAAAACTAAGTAAATAGTAAAAATTACATATTGGGTAGTGACGTTGTCAAGGGCAGGAAAGACGACTGGCTGTCGGGGTCAGTAGGCCAGTGTTGAGGTGTTAGGTCATGTTGCCTGTGGAGAGCCTTCGTGGTGTAGTGACCTCAGGAAAGGGCAGGGCTGTGGTAGGAAGTTAGCTGTCGGACTGCTGGCTTCCGTAGAGCTACTTGCTTTTGTTAATATGTGCAGAGTAGGATGCTTTCCTTTAAAAACAAAGTTTTGTAAACTACTAAACTAGGTAACTTCTTAATATATCTGTAGTTCTCTTTGATAGTCTCTGTAGATGACCACATTCCTGGTGTGGGGATTTTTAGTTCAGTGGGTTATGACAGCTATGTTTAACCTTACTCTGCATGGCTTGCTCTTTAACTCTTTCCATACATTATGTACATTCTATTTAGATGGAGAGAAGAGACAGGCAGCTTGGAACAGTGTTGAGAATAATCAAAGCTAACATACCATTGAAAACCTCTCTGAAGCTCTCGCTTGTCTTCTGTTACTTCTGCTGTTCAGTTCTGGTTGGTTCTGCAAAACGGCCCTCTGTTATTTCCTTGAGGCACCTGGTTGCCCTCTGTGTGCACCGTATCTTGTTTTAAGGATTTTTCTTGCTTTGAGCTTGTACCTTGTCTGTTCTACTTGCTGTCTTGACTCTCTGGATACTGTGGTCTTCTTGGGCCATTAGTTACCCTCTGTGTCTTTTGTACTCTGTGTCTAACTTTCTGGTCTGAACACCCCTCTTGTGCTCTCAATAGTTGTAAGAAGTGGGCTTCTAGTATATCTGTGTTAGTGGCCAGTGAATAGCATACATTCAGATATCTAAAAGCAACATGATGTTGTTTATCAAAAAAGAAAAAAAAAATTACTCATTTTTAACACTGGTAAACGGTGTCTTTGTCCAGTTGATTATTCTGTATTTTTCTGTGTACATGTTGGTTTGTATGCAGAAGCATGCAATCTCTAGTGTTGCTTCCTCAGATGCTATTTTAAAGTCCTCGCGTCTCCCTGGCATAGGACTTGCCTGGTGGGTTAGGCAGGCTGGTCATTGTGCCTCAGGGATCTGCCTATCTCCGCAGTACTGAAATTAAAAGTACATGCTACATGCCATGCTTTTTCTTTGTATGGTATGACCCCATAACCTGGGTTATGGGATCAATCTCAGGTCCTCATGCTTGGAGTGTAAGCACTGTATGCTGTCTCAGCTATCTTCCCAGGCCTGATTACTCCAGAATCATTGTGGAGTCCATTAGTCAGGTGTGCATGGCAAGCAAGGTTAGATTTACGCATGTTTCTGGAGAAAGAGGAACTATATGTCAGGAGGTATGTTCTGTTGTCTCAGTAACATGGTGCTTGAGAGACTTGGGGGACCTGGGCTTTTGTTTGGCAATTTTCTAGGGGGTTCAAAAAATGGGCATCTGTGTGTGCTGGCTGCCCCGGTGGATCTTTATCTCCTGCCTCCTGCCTGAGAGCCTGTGCTTGCCCTGTGGTACCTACACTCAGCGTGGGGAGAGAGAACTGTCTTCTCTGCACACTCACGCTATGGCGTGTGTGCATGTGCTCACATGTGACTGTGTAAACACACATATAAAACAAATCTCATTCAAAAATTTAAGGGAAAAGGTAACTTTCTGATTGAGTATTTTCATAAATCTTAACATATGGCTAGAAGAGCAAAAGACTGATTGGTAAAGACTCAGCGGTAACTTAGGTTCCCTGGAAACTTTTGGTTCCACAGAGTTCATGCTATTGCTTCTCAGGCAGGATTCTATGTAGCTTGGTTCTGACTCACTTCTCTGATGGTGACATTTGATGTGAGGTTCTTTCTGACAAAAACAAACAATAAAAGCAGCATCTGTTATTTTATTTATTTATTTATTATTATATAATAATATATATAATAATTTATTATTATTATTATTATTATTATTTATTTTATTCTATCTGTGAATAATGGACCACAACCTCCTGGCTTTAAGGGGCTCTGCCCCCCCCCCCTTATCTGAGCTAGATGTAGAAAATCAGGAAGAGTGATGTTGTGATCAAAACCACAGGTGTTCTTCGCCACGGGGCTGGGAGGCATGGAAATGTATTCTCCTTGGAACGTGTCTGGAGGATTTGGTGTCATACTGAAATAAAAATGCCTAGTTTGTTTACTCTGTTGCTGGGGAAAAGAAGGGAAGAGGTAATAGTCCTTGCTGTGTACCTTGCTCTAGTACTTAATTATCTTTTTTAATCCCTCAGGTAAATTCTATAGAAAAGGAAGAATTCATATCCCTGGGAGTAAGGCCAAATTAGAAATGCATTTATAATAGTGGTATAGACCATAAGGTAATAAGTCACTAGTTTAGCATAATAGTTGAGCTGGCTTGATTCCTCCCCATCACCCAGCGGGTTATGTAACCTAGACCAAATTGCTGAGGCTGTTAGAACTTGCATATTGTACATATTTAAGTGGATAGAGTAATAAAAATGTCAGAGGTTGACGTCACCCAGTACTTTGCAAGCACTCAAGGTACAATAGGTAAAGTTGCTATTGTTTTCTTGTATTAGCTGTATTACTTTGGACAAGTCATAAATTCCTTGGTAGCCTTGGTTCTGCTAGCTCTTTCCAGAATTGTATAGATCGAAAAGTGCAAGGAATTATTTTAGAAGCAACACTGTATAAATAAAGTAGTAGTTAATCACAGGTGTTTATGGTTGGATTATAATGTTTTGGGACCAAATTGTGCAGCACCTTGAATGTGAAGATGAGAAGTTTAAATTGCGCTATCAAATAGTCTTCAGAGCAGGAGGATAGGGAATAACAAGGGTGTGGGACAGGAGACTGGGACTGGGGTTGGGGAACCTAAAGACCAAAAAGCATGCTTGTGGAAGCTGTGGTAGGCTAGTGGAGGCCATGCTTAGTAAAATGGCAGTAGTGATGAAAAGATTTTAGTGTTGGTTTCAGCAGACTTTAATTTGGACATGTGGACATTGTTTTGTTATGGAGAGAAGTTCCTGATAGTGTTTCTTTTCCCTCACCCCCAAAATTGACTTACATATTAATATTTGGTCCTTTTAAAAGAAAAAAAATAGAGTGAGTAGCAGTGCCTAAATTATAATTACAAAGGAGAAAAAAAGAAAGAAAAGTTGGGGACATTTCTTTGAAATCACTGCAGTTCTATGTTGAATGAAAGGGGTATGGAAACAAAAATAAGTTCCTTGTACTCTAAATTTGAGGTTGACTGAATACATTTGTATTTCTTTAAATACAAATGGTTTATAAATACGAAATGATAGTCCTTATACAGGTGGCTCACTGGTTAAGAGCACTCCCTGCCTTTGCAGAGAATCAGAAACTTGTTCCCGGCGCCTGTGTCAGGAAGCTCACAGCCTCCTATAACTTAAGCCTCAGGAATCCATTCCCATCTTCTGGCTTCAAAGGCATCTGCATGTCTGTGTATGTGGGTACATACAAATGTAGTTAAAAAATAAATTCTAAAAAGAAGAAGAAGCATGAAAGAAATAGCCTTTTGACAATGTGTAGGACCACCAAAAACTTTTAGGTTTTGGTATTTCTTTGACCCCTTTTAAAATAATAATCCATATGTGTACTGCATGAAGAAAACTTTTGGAAAGGCCTACAAATTGAGCAGTAAGCTTTAAATAATTTGCTGTAAGGTAAATATAAATATGATAAAATATGATTTTTTTTCAAACACTGCTATTAGGGATGAATTTTGAAATGCATAAAAATGATGGGCATATATAAAGAGGACAGATCTGTGGAAAATATGACAGGAAATTGTAGAACCTTGACAGTGGGTGCATAGAGAACCACTCTGTATAGTTCTTCCGACTTGTTTATGTTTGGAGTTTTACTAGAGCGTCGGTGGAGGACTGGAACTAAGGCTTATCTGGAAGAGTTCCCTCTTCTGACTGAGACTTGACTTTTTTGTAGGAACTTTCCGTTGTACCTTTTGCCATACAGAGGTAGAAGAAGATGAATCAGCGATGCCCAAAAAAGATGCTCGCACACTTTTGGCAAGATTTAATGAACAAATTGAGCCCATTTATGCATTGCTTCGACAGACAGAGGATGTAAACTTGGCCTACGAAATACTTGAACCAGAACCCACGGAAATCCCAGCCCTGAAGCAGAGGTACGTGGAAGACTTGAGCCTTTCCCAAGAGCCTTTTAAAACTTGCACTGGTTTTAACTTTGGAGGGTTAAAGTAGGTATTTACCAGGAGACTAAAGACTCTGATGTCACGGAAGTTCCAAGTTGTGCATACTTGTCTTCCTAACTTGTGCCTGTACTCACATTTGTCTGTACTGAACACAGTAGAATATGGGCCTTCGGCAAAGATCTTTAAATAGTTAGTTTTCACCTTAGCCTCTCCTCTGCTTGAGCCTCCAGCACTCAGCCAGTTGATAGCCAATTCTAAATTAGTTGTACCTCTTGGGAATATTTGAATTTTCCTAACCAACTCCCCCATCCCCAGATGGGGTTTCTCTGTGGCCATTCTGGAACCTGCTCTGTAGACCAGGCTGGCCTGTCCTGCCTCTGCCTCCTGAGTGCTGGGATTAAAGGTGTGCACCACCAGTGCCCGGCTCCTAGTAAACTTTTAAAGGCCAAAATTCTTTCAGGAATACAGCATGTTCCTATAGATTTTGGTTAGTTTTTAAATGAGCATGTAAGTTTTGTTACAGCTTCCACATACATACTTTGTCTTTGTTGGTTCCTCTCCCTGGCTTCTTTCCCATGGGGCATGCCCCTACCTCCACTGACACCATTGCATCCCACGAAGTCCCCTGTCCGTTTTCCACTTTCATGTCAGCTTCCCCAGATACACACCCCTTATTCCTTAAAACCTCTTCCCTCTTTTCTGGCTTGGTTCTCTCTTTAATTCTATAATCTACACCCACAAATATACTCTCACATATACACATAAAAATTAAAAGGAAGGATTTATGTGTGACTGAGAACATACCACATTTTATTTAATTTTTCTGGACCATTTTAAACACAAACTTCTTGTTTTACTCAGTTTTAAATGCAACTTTCTGAAGTATAATGTTACCTGTAGGTTAGTACTGCTAAGAATGGTTCCTTTTTTTCTTTTTTTTTCTTCAGTGTGCTGTAGTGTTTGAATTGTTTGTCAGGCTTAGTTCTATCATAACTTGAAAAGTCACTATGTAGTTTTTAAGATTTATTTACTTTTAGTTTATGTGTGTTAGTGTTTTGCCTATAAGAATGTAAATATACTGCATGTTTGGCTGGTGTCCACAGAGGCCAGAAGAAGGTGTCAGATCCCCTGGAACTGAAATTATGGATGGTTGTGAGCCACCTTGTGCGTGTTGGGAAGTGAACCCAGGTTCTCTTGCAAGAACAGCAAATTGGCCTTTAACCTCTGAGCCATCTCTCCAGCCCCTACAAGTTAGCTGTATTATTTTTGAAAAGCATAAGTAAGAATTGGTGTCCCAAAGTGTCCTCTTGTTCTGCCGTGTCCGTTCTTTCCAATACCATGGTGAAGTTATGCCCATCAACCTGCTTCCATTTTGTTTCTGTTTTTTTAATTGAAAATAGAGTTTTGTTCATACAATCTATTCTGATTCCTGTTCCCCCTCCCCCAGCTCCTTTTAAATTCTTTCTACGTCCCCTCCCACACAAATGCATTCTTTTCTCTCATTAGAAAACACAGATATCTAAATAACAATAATAATAAATAAAGTAAAACCAAACCAGACTAGGACAAAACAAACAAAAAAGCCAAAGAAACACATTCAGATGCCGAGACATACATATTTACGTACATAGACAATCCATAAATTGGAAACCATAATGCATAAAGAAAAGATCTGCAAGGTGAGCGGGGGAATGGACAGAGAAAGCACGATGGGCCTCCAAAAGTACCGTTGACTTCATTTGTGTTGGCCATCTGCTGCCATGCGCGAGGCCTGCCCTAAGGTGTGGTTTTATATACTCAGTGAGGCTCCACTGTAGAACACTAATTTTCTTTGTGAGGGATGATCCATGGAGATAGTTTCCGGGTCAGGGATGCACATGTGTTCATTGTTCCCTTCTCAGCACTGGGATTTCATCTAGCTTGGACTATGCAGGCCCAGTGCCTGCTGCCACGGTCTCTGTGACTTTGTGTCTTAGTCCTGTTGTGTCTGAATGACACTGTGTTTTCGTCCACATTGGCTCTTAAAATTTTTCTGCCTCCTCTTTCACAGACTTTCCTGATCACAGAGGAGAGGGATTTTATGGAGACATCCCGTTTAGGACTGAGTGTTCTAAGATCTCCCGCTTTCTGCACTTCATCTAGTTGTGGGTCTCTGTGTTGGTTCATTCCATCTACTGCAGGAGGAAGCTTTTCTCATGGTGACTAAGCAGATCTATAAGTATAACACCATGTCGTTAGGAATCATTTTTAGTGCTATAGCTTTTTAGCAGAACAGTAGTGTGTGGTTTCCCGTGGTCTAACCAGTCTCAGATTCTTGGCCCCCTGGGCAGTGGCAGTCATGTGTTCTGTCTCCAGGGTGAGCCTTAATGTAACCAGATAGTGGTTGGTTACTTTCACAGCTTTCGTGCCGCCATTGCGCTGGTCTGTTCTGCAGGAAGGTCGCCATTGCAGACTGCAGTGTTTGTAGCCGGGCTGGTGTTGACCCTTCTCCTCTGGCAGTGTTCAGAGTACCTTGCAGTACCATCAGCACTGTCCAGTAGTGGTCAAGGTTCTAAGTTAGCGCTAGCTCGACTGCTCCATGTTCAGTGAGTTATCTAAGTGTGTTTCCAACAACAGGGCCTCCATCTGTGGAGAGCACCAGTAGCCTTGGTAATAGCCTGGTTGTTTGGGAGGGTTCTATGGAATCCCTTTGACCAACAGCTCAAATAGATGTAACCCATTCTCAGCACTGGAGGCTTCATTTGGTGGTGAGAGATGTCTACTTGGGGCTTTGTCTCTCTGCTATTTAGTCACTCCATTTAGATTTCTTTCTTATATGTATATGTTTTAAGAAGCTGTCAGGCAGTGGTGGCACAGACATTTAATCTCAGCATTCAGACAGCAGAGGCAGGCGGATCTCCGTGAGTTCAAGGCTAGCCTGGTCTACAGAATGAGTCCAGGACAGCCAGGGCTACACAGAGGAACCCTGTCTCCAAACAAACAAACAAACAACTGCAAAATAGAAGCAGCAGCAGCTTCTACAGTATTAGATTTCCATGCAGTTCCTCGAAAGGCTTGCTTTAGTTTTAGCTGTCCCTCCCTACATTTCCTCCTTACCTCTTTCCTGGTCCTCCCCATTTGATTCTCCCATTGTAGTCCACCCCCACTCCCTGTCCATTCATAACTATCTGTTCTGTTTTCCCTTCCTAAGAAGAGCATACCCCCACCTCCAAGTCCTTTTTACTCTATACCTAACTTCTGTGGTTATGTGGATTGGAGCCTGCTTATCAAAGACCTGACAGTTGACATCAGCTTAGAAGTGAATACAGAACGTGTTTGTCTTTTTGAGTCTGGGTTACCTCACTCAGCATGTTTTCTTTTCTAGTGGAGCTTCTATCCTCCCCCCCCCCCCCCCCCATTCCCTCTGGAATTTACTGTTTAAAAGCAAGTCCTGAGCTAATTGCATTTCCTTTCAGTTGTACAAAGAATTTTTTAACTTTATCGCTTACACTGGACTTGCCTCCTAACACTGTGTCAGTTAGAGTTTCTTTGCCTGTGATAATTTGTCTTGCATGACTCGGGGCTCTGACTTAGTGACTTCACAGCTCAGCTGCATACTGAGTCTAGATTTCATCCATCTCTGTTCTCTTGTGTTGAGTTGCTTCTTAGGACTATGAGGCAAACTGCCCTAAGGGGGCCCTCTGTGTCTTGAATATTACCTGCAGGTGAAAATATCCAAATGTAGAGAAGATAGAAACCTTTCCTGTGTCTTATTTTATAATATGTCTAAAGAAACATTCTGGAAAACACCCTCTATCCTATCTGTCCCACAGTGTCTTACTGCCTAAAATTACTTTATATATTTATTTTAAACCAATATCAGGTAAGGGGAATGAAATTATGTGATTGGTACTCAGACCGACTAAATTTTGCTTTGGCTGGGAAAGTTCCCAGAGTTCTTTGGAGCAACTAGACATCAATATTTAAATAAAAGTGATAAACAAAAATAGAGGAGCCATGATTAGTAGTGAAACATTATCATCCTCATTACAGGCAGCCTCATATTCAACTCAGTAATTTAACTCATTGCTGAGCCATTTAATTGATGCCCCAAATAAAATAACTGTGAATTTCTCTAAAAGAATACCATAAAGAAGATTTTAAGAGTGGTCTTCTCTATTCATTCTGATTGTCACTTTTCCCTATGTTTCTTATCTTTCTTTCTTCAAAGTTACTCCTGTGAGGCTGTGTATTAGGACTATGTGTAAAGAGACATAGTCTTAGAGAGTCTTGATAATGTAGCGATAACCTCCTCCTCCTCATAATAGTAAAGATAGGTCCACTCTAGAGCACTCTACCTTTCTTTGCTCTTCTGACTGGCATTAGCTAACTCGGGAAGCCACATTTGAGGCAGACAGATATAAAAAGCAGGCTGAGTACAGCAGGGTGAAGATATTGGCTGAGGATAGACAAAGCATTGAAAGGAGTTGGGGAAACAAAGTAAGATGAGCAGGGAGAACTCATCGCGTAGTATAAACAAAAACAAAAGTGGGCCGAGATAAGAGGATGAAAGGAACATGAATGCTAAGGGAGAAAAAATTTAAAAAGCCAAGCTACACTGAGGTAGGTAGTCAAGTTATGGTAAAGACAGCTGCACAGGGAGATAAAATGTCTAGGGACAGATGTGGCTGAATTAAGACAAGTAATTGATGCAAAAAGTAACATCATGTGAATGCAGAAAGGAACCAGAGAGTAGAGAGAAATCAAGTGTTTGCAGTTGTATCATGAGACATCAAAAAAAGCAAGACGTAAAGATCAAACAGCTATATTTGGATGTAGTCAGAGCAGGAGCGAGGAGGCAAAAGATGTTATTAAGACCAGAGAAGAAAGGCTGTAGGCAAGAATGGTATGTACGGAGTGTCCTTGGGTACATGTAGGATAATGAAAAGAATGCAGAGGCAATAGCTGAAAACATGCATTAAGTAACTGAAAAGAGCTTGTTGCTTGGTTTCAAAAGTATCATAACCGAAAGCAGGCCGGGAGGGATGAGATAAGCCCCAGACTACCTCTAGAGGATGTCAGAAAAACAGTGTTGCAGCCAGCCAGTCAGATTCTTGAACATCAGAGGAGCTTCATCTCAGCATGTGGTGGAAAACCCAAGGAGCTGTGAGGAAGTCTCAGAAAGAAAGAAAGAGCGATGCAGTAGGCAGAGAACAAGGACAGTTGTTCCTGGTGGCTTCTGAGGGAAGAAGATTAACAAAATGTTGGTTAGATTTAGGATAGCATGGTTTCCAAAAAGATATCGAAATGCAGGGAAACAATTTAGAGAAATGTGAGAGAAGTTAAGGAAGATCATGAGGTATATAGAGTACCTGTGGGCACAAAAAAAAAAAAAAATCACAAAAGGGTTAGGGTGCGCGGGTACTTCAGGAAACATGGTCGCTTAATGGAGTGAAACCTCTAAACAGGCACATTAAAGACAAATTGGTATAGTTCAAGGTTGAAACTGGTAAAGCAGGGAAAGGAGGATGCAGCAGGGAGAAGCTTAGCTCATAGAAATGGGGAAGCCTAGTGATCGGAGAAGGATAAGGACTGATTAGGCCTGTAGTGCGCTGACAGAAGACCGTAGAGGTAAAGAGCAAACCAGACCAGGGGACAGATCAGAATCCCTGCTGAGGGGAAAGATGGCTCAAGACAGAGTCAGTGTAGTTGTAGGAACAGATGGAGCCTGGCTTCTGGAGAGTTGCAGGAGGAAAATATTATTTCTAAGTTGAGGTCTGGCCCTGAAGAATAATTTTCTAGCTTTTCCCATGGTCATACACAGAATCACCTTAGGTTAAAGTTAAACTAAGGAAATATTTTTAAGATACAGTAATCTTCGTTTTGTTTTAAACACAATTCTCATGGAAGGTAAGACTGGCAGTGGTTCACCAGACTTTTAAGTATGCTATCACTGTGTCATTCTCCCTCCCCATGCAAATTAGTGGCCACATATACATCTCCAAAACATTGGTTATTTATATATGCAAGAGGGTCCAGTGTTTGCAGAACTTAAATAGGATGTGATCCATTCAGCTTTTACCCTGGGTTATAGAAGAGCTTTCTGAGAGTTGTTGAAGCATGCCTGCCGGATTGCTAGATAGCTTCGGTTCAGACTACTAAAGCATTAGCTTTCTCTCCAGCTGTCCTTCATGTTCAACACCCAGACCTTAACTTTCCTTGTTTTTATTCTTTCAACAGCAAGGACCGAGCAGCAGCTGCTCCTGGAGCTGCTGGCCTGGCAGGCGGGCACCACCGGGAGGCATGGGCCAGCAAAGGCCCCTCTTATGAGGACTTATATACGCAGAATGTTGTCATTAATATGGACGACCAAGATGATGCTCACCGCACTTCGCTGGACGGGAAATCTGCCAAAGAGAGGCCCATTTGGTTGAGAGAGAGCACTGTCCAAGGGGCATATAGTTCTGAAGAGATGAAGGAAGGTAAGAGTGAGAAGTCACTGAGATTAATATGTCATGGATTTGGTGAATGCCTGGGTAATTCTTGGTTTCATTGAAAATTTATTGCTTGAAACTGAGCAGTAAGCATTAAAACCAACCAACATGTTCTGTTGTCTTCCAGCTTAGTCAAAACAGCAATAGGTTTTTAAATCTCTGCTTTTAAAAGATATATTTATTTTGATGCGTATTAGTGTTTGCCTGTACATATGTGTATGCGCTACAGCTGGTGTCCAAGGAAGTCAGAGAGGATGTCATATTCTCCAGAACTAGCGTCACCGTTTATACAAAAATAGGACATGATAAAGGACTGAACGCCCCTATGTCCAAGAAGACAATTTTGTAAGTCTCTGAACCTGAAAGGATTAGCAATTGGGTAATAACTTTTGCCAGATTAAGAAGTGCGAGGTTTTACTTTGTAAGTTCTAGCGTGGGTACTGGATTCAACGTTGGGTGATGGTATAGAAAACAGTAGCTGAAACTGTACAACAAAAACTGCTAAAGGACTGGAAAGCAGAGGTGATGGGATGCAGTGTCTGTGTCTGGGCTAGGGGTTGTTACCAGCTTGTCACATGGATGGGCTCTTCAGTGCTGAGCACCATCAGTTACTGGAAGCCACTTGTGTTTTAACCTTCCCCTCCCTTCTTTCTTAAGATTTGTGTTTAGCATACAGTATAAACCAGCAGTAATGAAGTGTAGATATTGGGGCTGTAGAAAATACCTCTTGTATAATTGATTCCCTTTGAGAGTCCTGTTCCAATCAGGAAAATACTTGTGACAACCATACTTTCCTTCCTCTTTACTGATAAACCTGCAGTGTTTAGTTATTTTGATTGGGGTTGTTCTAGGTTATGTAGTAGTTAGGCTGTCTTATTTAATAGATTTATTTTCCCCAATTGTCTTCTTCACTGTTCTTGAAGCAGTCAAATCTTTTTTTAATGAACTTAGAAACAAAATTGGCTAAAACAAAATTATTATTAACCAATAAAATATGCAATTAAGCTAGTAATTTTAACTTTACATATTTATAATTCCTAGGATAGTAGAATATGAGTCATGGGGTTTAAATCCTCTAGTCTACCCAAGTTTTCTGTGTAAGATGATAGTATTTGTCTAAATCAACACATTTAAACTTGTCCTTGTTTGTCATGATATTGAGCATGGACTCATCATGGACTTAGTAAGAGCATCTTGTTTGTCCTGTACTGAATTTCCCTCAAATGTCAAGTTATTTTTACCTGAATTTTTAGACTTGAGTCATGTCTTCATCACTACCCCAAAGCTCTAATTCCTTGTGTTCCTGCTTTTTGTCACAGTGGCCCTCATTCCCAATGTCATTTTCAATCAGTTTTTTTTTTTTTTTTTTGGTCTATTTTTCCAGCCCTAATAAACTTTACTTTAGGTCCAGTTGCCACAATAGTCTGTCTAGCTTATGCATAGGTCACTAAAGATTCAGGTCTTACTTTCAGTATCACTTTGGTTTCTACCTGACATTTTGTTTCTTACTTTGGTTCTGGAGCTACTGAGCTGCTAACATTAGAAACATAAGGGACGTTTAGGAAGGATTTCATTCAATGCTGTATCTAATAGCGTGGACTGTGTCTTTCAGTATAGTTTAGATTATTTTTCTATATGCAGGTATTCTTTCACTTTGACTATGTAAATATTTATCTTTTTGCTGACTTGGGAAAACTTTAGCTTTTCAAAAAGTTTTTCTACGTCTTGGCTATTTAGCCCCCAAATTGCTTAGCAGCATCAGTGAACCTGTCTGACAGCATGCATGTTCTTTGTAACTTTCAGCTCTTAATATGATTTCCTAGCAGTATTACCTCTACTTTCTCATCCAGACACATGCATATTCATACTCATTTTGGTTTTGTTTTGTTTTGTTTTAATCTGTAACAAAACAATCCCTTGCCCCAGCCTTGTGGTTGTCACCATCTATTCGATATGTGTTCATTTACTTTTTTTTTTTCAAAATGTATTTGCATTTCCTCTAATTTTGTTCCTTTGAACATTAAGATACCATGCTGGTAAAATTATTTAAAATAAAGACCTCTTAGAAACAGCTTGCCCAAAGGTCCATGTGCCTCCCTGCCTTCTTGCTGCAGTGAAGAGTGCCACTGCTTCTTGGCAGTGTGCACTCTGGGAAGGGCCTCAGCCTTCAGCGGTGTTGAGCTTTCTGACCTCCATGTTACACCAAGTCTCTAGGGCTTTCTTTTCTCTCTTTGCCCAGAATCTCATTTAGGAATTCTGTTCTTTTCAAAATAACCAACTTCAAGCTGAATGTTCATTACAGTAATGAGGTGATTTCACTTAAATCATTGCCAGAATTGACCATTTTCTGAGCCTTCTCTTAATGGTTGGTAATTTTCCGATATATCAGATCTATTCTGAGTACCTCATATTCACTTGGGCTCCACAGTGATTCAGTGAGGCAAATATTATTTTTTTTCCAGTGTTGTACTTGGGGAAATTGGAGAACAGAAAATTAGTGTAACTTTACTTCCCAGTCATACAGCCAATATGTGTTAGTATTTGAATCAAGGAGGCAGGTTCCCAGTGTCACTTTTAATCCTTTTACAGATTGAAAACGGCAGTCTGTTTCACTCTAACAGAATGCAAAATTCAAGCACTGTTCTTACGTATGCTGGCTGCACTGTATCAGCCAAGATGTGTGTATAAACTGGTGATATGTGCTGAGAGAAAATGTATTTATTCCTTAAATTAATAACCTTTTTATAAATGAGTTCAGAGTTTGTGCAATTTGCTTCAGGAAAATGATACTGCCAATTATTTGCTCATTCAGCAAATTCTTACTCATTGCCTGACATGGGCAGGTATTGTTCTGTGCATGGGGTCACAGTTTATAAGGAAGGCAAACCTTGCAGTGGTAGAATCTGCATCCTTAGAAAGGCAGTAACAGGCAGCAGGCCAAAGTGATTATGTGGGAAAATGAGTGCGGTGGGGAAAAACACAGAACCTTGATAAAGTGACATTTGAGTAATGACATAAAGGATGTAGGGAAATTAGTTGCATAGATACCTAGAAGAAAAACACAACCCTGTCAGGGCAGACAGGCAGTACACATACCCGAGGGAGTATGTGTCATGTCTGTACAAGGGATACCAGCTGTAGCTGGTACAGAGTGAATAAGGGCAGGGGAGTGGGGAAGAGGTAGGTGGCCAGGAGTGCAGATGAGGCGGCACCTTATAGGCATTGTAAGGCCTCTGGCTTTTACTCTGAGCATGGCGAAGAACCACGCCTTCGTTCATTCCCAGTCATGCCAGCTGTACTTAGTCCTGTCTCGCCGTCATCTCACAGGTTCACACCCAGACTCTGAGAAGGTGCGCCGTTTGTCACCTCCTAAAGTTTAGAAATGAAAACATCTGCTCCAAATAGTATGGCTTGCATGGGGAGGGGGAGAATTCTCATCCATGTAAGCTTCTATAAACCTGTAAATTCCATGTATTCTTAGTTTGGTCATTGTGATACTCAGGCCCTAGCTGTTAAGAAACACTTGGCTATTTTGTAGAGCAGCAGCTCAGAAAAATGGAAGTGGTGGCATCTGTGGTGTGTTATTTATCTGTTTAAACATAACACAATAAAGTCTATTTTTCTATTAGTTACAAATGGATGCCCTTTGTGTTTAAGGATCTTGACTTTCTGGGTTTTAACTTCCAGGTGGCATTGATATGGGTGCATTTCAGGAGCGTGATGAAGCACGTTCAGGGCCTGATGACAATGAGGAGGTCATGCGAGCTCTGCTTATTCACGAGAAAAAGACTTCTTCCACGACGGCTGCCTCAGTGGGAGCGGCTGCTCCAGTGACTGCTGCCAATGGCAGTGACTCAGAGAGTGAGACCAGTGAGTCGGATGATGACTCTCCACCCCGGCCAGCAGCTGTGGCTTCTCATCATCAGGAGGAGGATGAGGAAGATGAGGAATTTGAAGAAGTAACAGACGACCCCATTGTTATGGTGGCTGGCTGCCCATTCTCCTACAGTGAAGTTAACCAGCGGCCAGAGCTGGTAGCCCAGATGACACCAGAAGAGAAGGAAGCATACATAGCCATGGGCCAGCGTATGTTTGAGGATCTCTTTGAGTGAGCTTTCCCTACTTTTTCTTCCTGTTAGCGCATTTCAGAGAGAAGCTTCCCACCAAGTGCTTAAGTGGCGTCCTGCCTCTTTCTGTACTGCACCTGTTAACCTAGTACAAAAGCGTCATAGGAGAGAAGATTTGAATTTTTTTTTTTTTTTTAATGTCCGAAACATCCCAGAAAGGTAGGTAGGCTATAGGTAACCCCTTCCCTCTTATTACTAAAGTATTATTAATATTTTCTGTATTTCTTTATCTAATTTTTCCTTTCCTTTTTAAGACAATTTTTCTTACCTCTGACTGAAATGCTCCTGTCTACCTATAAAGAGCCTTTCTGGGGTACACTTATCCTAGTATAACTGTATTCTGGTCAGGCATTTGAGACAATTCTATACATTCCTGTCAACCAAAGCAGCTTACCAAGAAACATGTCACTGGTTACGGGCATGCCCAAATACTTCATCGTTCCTCAGAAACGAATTTGAGGTCAATCTGTTAGAGACAGAGACAGACAGATTTGAATTTTAGGTTCATGTGTAAACTAGAATTCAGATCTGTAGAAATGATGAGGCTGGTGGGTTGTTTTGTTTACTTATACCTTTTAGCCTTTTAGGTTATATTTTACATGACAGATAACAAAGCACGTTAGGTACACACTCATGAAGAAATGAAGGAGAGCATACACAAAGAGTGAGGCGTTCATGTCCAGGCTTGAAAAACCGAGAGCATTGGGAACAGTGTGTTAGAACTGACTCAGTGAGATTTAGAAATCTCTGATGTAAAGCTGAGATGGCCCCGCTTCCCCCCCCCGCCCCCCCCGCTCGTTCTCTAGAACCTTTGCCAGTACTCTTAATTAAGGAGCGCCTTCCAGTGGAGGTCAGTATTGACTGCTTCACTCTCCTCTCATTCTTCCTACACGTCACCAAAGCCTTTATTTGTCTCTTGGAGTATCTTCAGACATTGTACTTTAGTGCCTCTACTGCGTTGTTGAGCACTGTAACCTCAAAGAACATAGTCAGGTAGCATGGTATTCCTGAAGGCACAACTTTAAAAATAAAGGACTTTCCTGTAAGTTAGTTCTACAACAATTAAAATTTTATAGTATTTTCCCTTGCGTTGTGACTTTTAATTATCATTTTGTAGCATATGTGTGAAGCTAAGCGTGTTTTTGAGTATCTGAGCCTTATGTAAAGTGATGATTCATTTATCTGGTTGTTGGGTGACTGAATATTGACAGTCTACTTACTGCTGGTTAAAATTGACTGATTTCTAGCTCTGATAACTTGGAGCATGAGCCGAACACTCTTCCCATTTAAAGATGTTAGAGGCTTCTCACCGGTCATCATCTAATATCATTAGGTGCAATTAGATGTGATCTAAACTTTTTTTTTGGGCAGTGAATTGCTTTAAAATAACTTTTATGTATTTATCTTAAATACAAGAACTGTTCACCTTTAAATTTTGTTTTTTAAACTTTCATGGTTCTAAAAAGATGTTCATTTTTAAAACATGACTAATTTTAAACTATGTTCTTTGTCGCATTTTATGAGTAAATGTGTATGAGTGTGCACCTCTGTTGTGGAAAAATGTATTAATAAAGGTACTCATTAAAGCAGTGTTTGACATTGACAAGAGAGGTGTTATACTCACTAAATCTGCATTGATTAGGAACTAAGTATTTTCCAAGGAAAATAGCCATTCCTAAGAAGGCATTGGGAAGAAAAGCTGTCCATGCTGTGTTACGTGTAAGAGGATTCACGTTTTCTATAGGGGACTCAGGATGCTGTTTGCGTGACACTCTTAGCTGTTTTATTTGACTGATATTTGGAATAAACATCAATCAGGGATGGCATATGTGAGTAAAGATGCTGGGAATGGGATTTGCAGTAGTCTCAGTGTGTTAGACAAGAGACAAGAGATTCCCATTTTGGAAAATAGCACATGAATAACGGATTACATGTAGAAATAGTGGAATGACAAAAGCAAACTTTTTGTTAATGCTTGTATTTTTAGGTGTATTCCTTTTTCATATTTAAATCTCAGGTTAATCAAATTAAAATAATAGGACAGTATAATTTAATATGTAACTTTTGACTGTCGCTTTTATGTTTTAATAATATATGTAACAAACCTCAGGAGAGCTTGCTCCTATTTTATCAGACAGGTATGTCTGTGTCAGGCTGCTCAGTAACTTGTTATGGGAAGCCAGTTAGTGGCAGAACAAAACAAAAATGGGAGTGCCACTAATTGTTAGCCTCTGAGCCTCTGGTGAGGGTAGCTTTGCCCTCAAAGGTGGCAGATGCCTATAGTAACAATGTAAAGAGGCATTATCGCCATTCACAGCATATAGTGAGGGCCAGGTAGAAGCAGTTGTTCTGAATTCTGTTGGCTGTGTCAGCTGTCCACGCAGCCCAGCTTTTCCATCTCCCTCAAGATTTTTGTTGAACTAACATGGAAGACTGCTTTAATATTTCTTTGGGAAGCCATTGCTTCTTGGTGGGGAGGGAAGCAAGGGGTGTATTTTCTCTCTCTACTCTGCTACCCCGGTTTCTCCATCGACACCATCTGAATGGATTCTCCCTAGTCCCACTAACATCAATCTGTGTACTAGTGGCTTTCACTGGGGAGGGAGGCATCAGGGAAGGGCTTTTCTAGGAATCCCTCAGCTGTTCTCAGAGGTTCTGCCATGAAGTTTGACCAAAATTTCAGCTTCTGTTTTTCTTTTCCATGTCATCCATTTCCCCCCTTCCCCCAGAGGCCTTGGAAAGTTTTCATGTGTTCTGAGTTCCTGTTTGTTTCACATAGTTGCCTTTCAAAGCTTCTACAGAATGCAGAGGGCCTATCAGGATGGCCCCATACCCAAGGAGCCAGCTCCCTGTCTCTAGGGGCCAGCATGAGAGGTTAGCCATGGCTTCTTCTCTTCCTTCAAACCATTTCCCTCCTACTCAAATAGATCCCGTTTACGGTTTCACTTGGATTGAATCACTGTCTCACTTGCACTTTTTCCCCCCAAAACTAAGTTGGTAATACCCTAGTCCTCGGATTTCATCTGCCCATGAAGTCAACACCTTTTTTAAGCTACTCCCCCACCCTTTCCACAACACATCTTAAGGAATATTAGATTTTAATGACTTTAAAAGATCCACTCAGCAGTTCCTGGTGGAAATCAGGGCACCAGGTGCTAACCGTAGCCAGCACCAGTGGACCACACACCTTACTGCCAGGGCTGCTACCTAGTGTGACATTTCCTGGCCATTTTCTCCAGTTAGTTATGGAATGGTTGTACTAGGTTCTCCAGGTTTTATACATATATACATGTATATTTGTATATATATTTGAAATAAAGCCAAGCAAGACCAACAAAAATGCCTTGTGATGTGCTAAAGGAAGTCAAACCCAGGCAAAGGGTATTTTAATTTAGAGAAGTAGAAGGCAGATTTGGAATTGGCAGCGTTGCAAGTCAAAGCAAATGGCGGCTGATTGGATTTCTGTTTCCCAGTCTTGTACTAGTGCTTAACTTCTGGTCATCTGCACGACTAAGGGGGGAATAATTAAGTACTTTATAGTCGTTGGTATTATAGGAGGTCAGGGCACCAGCAGGAGACAGGCACCTCGAGGGCAAGCTTACTTTATTCTATCAGTTGGCTCCATGCCTCGATTTCCAGCCAGGACCACAAAAAAAAAAAAAAAAAAAAAAAAAAAAAAAAAATGTAGATGTGTTGCTCTTTTTATTCCCAAGTGTTTTAAAAAGGAAGTATAAAGTAACAGTTTCTTATTCTCAACTGTCAGAAGTCATAGGGACTGGGGAGTGGCACTCGGTGCTCAATGGAGCGCCTTGGCATAGCACTTGCCTCATACATACGAGGCCTTGGGCTGGATTCCCAACCACTGCGAAGAAAGAAAAAGCCATCAGATTTTGGAAGCTGGCACGGCTCACTTCCTATTGTTCTGAGCTTTGTTTTCATCAAAGCTATGTTACCTTTACCAGCAGGGCTGCCGTCACTTTTTTAATAAGTAGAAATTCTCTCCCAGGAAATGAAGATTATTAGAAAGAAACTGGTACTGTGGTAAACTCACTGCCTATTCATTTTTTGTTGTCCTTTTCTTTCTTTTTTTCCCCCCTGCCATATAAATAAATAAATAAATAAATAAATAAATAAATAAATAAATAAATAAATAAATAAGGAAACTCTTAAAACCTGAGAAGCCAAAGTGGGTTGAGAACAGGGAAGGTAATGAAATCTTCCTTTGGAGAGCTAAAAGGATGAACCAATTGCCGTGCCTTTCAGTGCAGGAGCAGATAAACTGGCTTCTCTCCAGAATGAACTTTATGTCCCGAGAACCAGAGGCAGCCTTTCGAATTCACTTATAAAGCTGCTAGGCCTAGAGCATGACCCACTTTCAACAGTCAGCCCACAACTCCCATCATACAAAATTACATTATCGCCTTCCCAATGTAAATAAGTCTGTGAAATTAGCCTACAAAGAGTACAAGTGCCAGGTCCTTGAATCACGTTAAGACATACAAGATGGTTGTATAGTCTCATCATTACATAAACGTATCTAATGTTTTAAAATTACCCAATTAGGAATATATATAGTAAAAGCTGAGAACTCCTCAGCCCACCCCCATTTCACTATTGCTAAGGAAACCATTGTTGACAGTTTGCTTTTCATTCCATGCATTTTCCTTGCCTTTAGCCTCATCCCCACATACAAGTGGAATTACACACACTGTCATTCAGTTTTGTAAAAATCAGAGCTATATAGAATTTGAAAATATCATATGATGGTTTATGCGACACAAGAGAAATAGCCAAAGGGTGTGTTAGTCTGCCCTCTGTTACTGTAACAGTAATGGTTGAGGCTGCATTCTCTCCCAGGAGTAGACATTTGTGTTTGGGGTTTTGAGGCTGAAAGTCCCAAGATCAGACGTCCGTGTCTGTTTGGCCTCAGGTGAGGGCCCACTTGGTTACAACACGAAAGGCTGGAGAGAGAAATGGCCATTTGCAAAGGAGGCCAGTACATGCGAAGGACTTAGTTTATTGCAACACAGTCTTGTAAGAACCCACTCTGAGAGGCAGCATTAGTCCCTTTTGCATTCCCAGTGATGTGACTATCATCAGGCCCCAACTCTTAAGTTCCTCCTGTCTTAGCACCCCCATTCTGTGGACCAGCCTAGCACGTGAAACCTAGGACACATCCAAATTAACAGGACATGTCCATTTACACTTCAGAAGATGTTGCCAAGTTATCCTTTTAAGAGATTTCAGGGACACTGAGCCAGAGAACAGGGTGAAGTATTTATTGGCCCCGGATTGGAGTTTATGCCTGGAGGGCAGTAAAGACATATTTATAGTCTTGGTGTCTGAGGCTGTGTTGGTAGGAAGATGGGAACATTTTTGAAAGATGATAGAAAAGTAATACAATTTGGTGACTGAATAGGATGCTTTTCTTGGGTGAATTTGAAGTTTCTAAGTGGATGGTGTCTGCTCACTGGGACTGGAAACAGAAGAGGTGGGGAACTTTCCGTGTTCAGAAGGTAGCTCCACCGTTTTACTGCAAGGTCAACATAAAAGTTGCCAACAGTTGACCGTTTTTTTTTTTGTTGTTGTTGTTGTTTTTTTTCTTTTTTCACCTTACAGCAAATTTATCATCCAGTCCTGTCAGACTCAAAATACAATCTAACGTCTATAATCTGATTCTCAAGGTAGCGCTGACAGGACTCACTGATGAGTTGGGGCTCTCTTGTAAATGTGATCTAACGGCTTCCACGGCTACCATTCTCTTCTCAGCCATGTCAGCTCTGCCCTTGGCAACTGCAGCCACCCCTAACTCTTCTTCCTGCTTCTGACACACACACACACGATTTTAACCATTCACCCACACAGAGGTGTTAAAAAAAAGACAAAGTCATAAATAAGATTTTTTTTTTTTTAAATAGCATTCAACTCTCTTACTCTTTCTAACAGTTCCTATTTGGCCTGGCCTTGAAACTACGTCTTCCACTGCATTTCTTTGTTGAAAACTCTTAGCTTGAACAGACCGTCTTTTGCCTGTCTTAGGTCATTATCTAGTTATATTCTCTGTACGAAACGCTTAGCATTCTTGCCTGTTACCGCCTTCTTAAGCACAAATAACACCTCTGAGAAGCCAGTTCTCTGTTCTCCTGTCTATTCTACGTTTTCCTGTTTTGTTTTGTTTTATTGCAAATTTAAAACTTGAAGTAAATGTCTGATTTATGCCCATCACCCCTCCCCCCCAAAAAAAGTATAAGCCACCAGAGGGCAGGCTACCAGCATG